ATAACCCTAGACCAAACCCAAGATCCTAATACCCAATATAGGGATTTTTCCCACCATAAATTACAGATCAAAACTCTCCCCCATCGATAACTACCTAAGAAACTAAGTTCTACAGATCGAAACACGGATTCGGGGAGTTAAAATCTTACCTTTAGCCTCAAGAATGGTGAATACGCCCAAGAACTCGTCTGGGGTCATCTCCTAGCTCTCAAAATTTAAAAAGTGCAGAATAAAGACGTTTTAGGGTTTATTTACGACCTTAAGTCACATCGGACCCGCCACAGCGGTCCTCACCCTGCTACAGCGGCCCCACCCTGGCGGCATAAATCCCGCCCCAACAGCTTCCACGGAACCAATGAGCTATTTTAATAATTCCAAGACCCCCATTTCACAACACACCTTTAACCAACGACACTAAAAAAATACCGTTCAAGCTAAGATCAATTTTGGGAGTTCTACTTCCCCTAATTCAATTCCGTAAAGTCGTACAGATTCCTTAACGCCTTAGATATCTACTCATGTGATCAAACTCATTATTAGATCACCCAATTGCTACCAGATTTCCTTAGACCTTACTGACTCCGATTTCATCCAAATCTGGACTAGGCTAGGAATTCCCAAGTTACTACCAAAAAGTTTTCTGACCCCAATTCTCTAACGACGGAATCAGGTCATTATAATAGATACCAATTTACCAATCACTCATCCCTGAGTGATCAACTAGGTCATGTTTAACAACACTGAGTCTTACCCTATGATATAATCTTCACTCCCAAACCAACCAATGGAATACCTACACATCCTCCCATACAATGTCTCAATGAAGTCATCACAATACTCGAGTGATAATTATTGATATATGCACACTTAACTAACAATAAATGTTTTTCTCAATAATCGCTAAGGTTGATCGTACACACGTCTGCAACATGTTATCAAGGCCTTGACACAATCATTCAGACGAATCTTTTAGCACTTATGTATGATAAAATTTCAATCAATACTCGCTACAATTAGAAGTGAACCTGAATCAATCAACACACACTCATAATACTCTAACAATCATAGTTCTTATCAACATCTCCTTCTCACAACATAAATTTCCATAAGCTTAAGTTACAAAAAATTGGCCTTTAGACAACAGATACTTATTGAGGGATATGTCCAAACATGCAACCCCTCCAACAACACTATCGAAATGCTAGATTTAGTAATTGTAGATTACCTCTTAAGAACAGTAGAATTGGACTTAATGATTCCCACATTCAACCACACATAATCGATATATGACCTCGATGACTAGATGAATATTAAGATTGCCAGACAACCACAAATACGCATAGTAGCTCTTCTATAAATTCTCATAAGCAAGGTGGTACATGTAGAACCACTAAAATACTTTAACAACTCCAAGACAACACCAATTATGTCATTCAAAATAACCAAATATTCCCAATTTTCCCATTCAACCAAGAGAACATCGCAGGATTTGGTACCCTTAATCCACCACTAGAGATCCACCCACAAAAGTGAAAACACACTAGAGCATAGCTAATGAATCATACTCACAACACTAACAATCATCATAAACACTCCGACCTTTTACCTTATTATATACTAACACTTTTAAAAATGAAACCTTTCTTAGGTACTTAACAATCAATAGTAGTAAACTTACTACTCAACCCAGGCGTAAGTCCTTTCACATGCTCAATACCGGATACAATTGATCATTCTTCACCTTGCCAATTCATACCTTGACAAAATATATCACCACAAATGTAGACTTATAATGAGAACTCTGAATTGTAACCTCAATCGTTTAACACAATACCTTTATCTATCAACACTAGCTTATACCTTGAAGATTTTTATGAAATCCCAGATCTTTGCTTATCATTGATCGCATCTCCATCGATCTTACAATATCTTCTTGCTAAAATTTCAACCACACTCATTACTAAACGCAAAACAAAACAAGCACTTATCATCACACTCAAGCTAATTTCTGTACACTCTTTTCTCAAGTCATTTCCAATATTTTTAACCAATATGAGGAACTTATGATACTATTACCATAGCCACAACAAAACAAATGAAATCATGCGTCTCTGAACCCAATTATCTACCCCTCTGAAGATACCTCTTTAGCCTTAAGAATCAAATAAAATATTCTTGCTCTCGCCTCTCTCTAAAGGTTGTACTACATTCCACTATATTTTTCTTCACTATAACTCTAGCTCTTTTAAATTCGGTTCGAGTGGTGTCCCACCATCTCTTAAAACTTTCCATACAACCACGATACTCATCAAATATTAGAAAACAACAACCTTAGGTACTCGCAAGTCGTAATTACTATACAAAATTCTCTTAATCAACAATCTCATTATATATTTGCATCCCATCACAATCCACCA